GACGCGGCGGGCGTGAGCTTCCAGAAGACCGTGCTGGTCGGGGCGCGCCACCACGGTCGCCTGCTGGTGCGTCACGCCTACAGCTTCCACCAGAGCAGCGAGGAGGCAGGAGACTTCCTGGCGCATGCGGATCTGCAGCGGCGCAATTCTGAGTACCTGGTGGAGAACGCCCTGCACCTCCACCTCATCGTCAAGCCCGTCTACCACACCCTCATCCGGACCCCCAAGTAGCCAAGTGGGGACGGAGTGGGGAACCTGGCGTCCCAGACGCCTCCGGACTGGGAAATAAAGGCCTGGCACAGATAGCCCGGAGGGACTGGGAGCGTCTCCGCCAGTGGAGGTGCCTACACCGGCCCTTTTGGGCGGCCAGACTCCGGAGACGGCGGAGCTGGGTGGAGACCAGGTGAGGGGTGGTAGACCAGATGCCTAGTCTCAAGAGTCGCACAGCTGACTTAAAGGCAACATTCTTGGTTGAATAAACCGATGCTCAGAGAGGCGAGGGGATAATTGAAGCACCCAGCCCCAGGAAAAAAATCAGCCCATGGGGGTGTTCCACAAGTCTAGGGTTCCCCCGGGTTTCATCAGTTTGTTGGAGGCCTCCCACCCCCACAGGAACAGAGCGGACAGAGCATCTGAATGGTCAGGGCCGCCGCCAGCCTGGCGACTCCAATCCCAGGAGTTTTTTCACCTTGAAGCAGAGGGGCCTGGTCGGGCAATTTCTGCACCCTGGTTTCAAGGCAGTAACCCTTCATTTGGGTTCTGAGGCTGTCTGTGGTCCAGGCCACTCTGAGCCTTCAACCTCCCTTCCCTAGGAGGGGCCCTGGGCCAGGTGTGACTGGGCATGAACGGGCCCTGCTAGCCCCGCCCTTTTGGGGGCGGGGCCTCAGGTCTGGAGAAAGACCCCTTTCCCCCAGGGGTTTGTAGGCTGGTGCTATGCAACCAGACAGTGAGAGTCGGAGTGTGGGCGGAGGGAGGGGCAAGGGAGTTGGGTGGAATCTTAATCAGTCAGGGCCACGATGTTCCAGACAAGGTCTAGTTTTTAACACAACTGTCAAAGATCCAAATGGGATTTTACTGTTAAAAAGGAGGCGGGGGGGCGGGGAGGGGGAACATTGCCAAGTAACAAAACCAGATTCCCTCCCCCCACCCCACCCACAGTATGTGAGGTGCCAGTTGGCCCCTGCCCCACCACTCTCGCCCCAGGTGTGAGCCCAGGAGCCTGTCCCACTACAACTTCCTCCAGCGCCACCCCCATTTCGGGGGCTGAGTCTGGCCACAGGTCTGTGCAAGGTTTTGGCAACAGGGTTCTGTCCCGGGCTGGGAGGCCAGGGAGCCCTGTCATCCTGCCTGTGCCTGCCAGGCTCACCTCTCTTCCCTGGTGGTACTGCGCACATGGAAGGGGTGGGCAGGCATCCTCACAATTCCCAGGCCTCAGGAGCCTCGGCCTTCTGAGATTCTGAGCTCCTGCTCCCAGGTCACCCCACCTTTCCAGCCTCCATCTCCCATTTCCTACTACACCCCATTCAGTCTTGGGGACAGGAAGGTGGGTTCCAGGCCGGGCGCCTCAGTTATGGCGGAAGCGTCCATCTTTGCCGTGGGTGCTTGCCCCGTGGGGCAGGCGGGGCCCACGCGTAGCGCGTCGGGAAACCCCAGCTGGGTTGGAGGGAACGGCAAGGGGGGAGGAGTCCCCAGGGCCTGCAACAGGGGAGGGCCAGGAGTGGGGGTTAGGGATGCCTCCCCCACCCCTCTCTGATCACTCAGAGGCCTTGAACTCCCTAGGGGCACAACCCCAAGATGCCAACCCCACGAATATTCTGCAAGAACCCCATTTCCAGCAAAGGACGGCCACAGAGGACGCCTCCTCCCTGGGCAGCCTAAGGGTTCCCTTCCCCATTCCCGCCCTTGCTGGTACTGACCCGCGCTCCTGCTTGGAGGGAGTTTGACTTTGGCCAAAGGCAGTGTGACCTTCCCCAGATGCCGGATACCGGGTGCTGGGTGCCCACACACTGGCATCCTGTGGTCCGAGATGCTCTCCATGGGTCGGGGCCCCAGGAGGTGCGTCTTGGGGCGGGTGAGCTATGTTGGTTGGAGAACAGTGAAGTGAGGTGGGGGCTGCTCGGGGATCTGCCCCAGCTATTACGTCAGCCTGGGGGACAGAAGCATGGAGGATGCGCAGGTATCCCGGAGCCTCCGGAGGAATCCAGTCCTCAGGCCCCCACTCGCAAGGAAGGGGCCCAGACACCCTGCTCCTACCCCTGGCCTCACCCCTTGCCCCGTGACCTCGAAGGACCGGGACCTCCGCTTCCTCCTCTTTGCCTCCAGCGACTCTTCCCGTTTCTTGCCCAGGCTTTTCCTCTGGCCTCGCGGCCAGGGCCCAGCGCCGTCGCCACGAGGCCCGACCACCCGGGATGGGGCCTCTCCTGTGCTGCTGGAAAGATTGTCCTCACTGGCAGCGTGCTGCAGCGTGGGGCTGGGCGGCCGCTTGCAGGCCAGTGGGCCTGGTGCCCGCGAATCATCAGCCTCGCTCAGCGAATGCAGGGACAGGCTGCTGCGCTCCGCCGAAGGTGCCAGCAGGTGGCGCCCCTCCGTGCCCAGGGCCCTCGTGCGCCTCCGGGCAGCCTTCACGGAGATGCACTTGGTGCCCGTCAGGATTTCTTTTCTCTCTGCAGCGGGACAGAGGGAGCACCCAGCCTGGGATCAAGGCCACATATTCCTCTCCCTCCTGCACCTCCAACACCCCTCCCTGCAGAGGCAGAAATGAATAGGAACCAGAATGCCAGGGTTTCACACCGGCCACCCACGCTTGCCTGCCATTTAAGAAACCTGGGGCAAATCTGAGCCTTGCTGTCATCTGTGGACTGGTGACGGTGAAACTAAGCCCACAGGCCTATTGTGAGGACGGCTGCGGTAACGGCTTAGTCTGTGGCTGGGGACTCGATCTAGATTTGCTATTACAATTATTACTGAGTAGAAAGGGGCCATGATCCCAGTTTCTGATTGTGCCCCCAGCTCGGTGTGTCCTTGAGCAGAACGTTAATCCTCTCTGGGCACTGGTGACTCTCTTCATAAAACGGGCAGCACCCGAAGCATGGGTACGTTCAGCAGTGCAGGGGGCTAGAAGGGCTTTAAGCTGGGTGATCTGAGCAGTGTAAATGATGCCAGGCTCAGGACGACAGGGCAGGTAGGGGAGGCACACCTTTGTGGGACAAGGGGACCTCTGACAGATTCTCGCTGCTGTCAGGGGAAGAGGTGATTCGGCTGCTCAGGCTGACCAGGCTGTCCTGAGTGGGCGCCTGTGGGGTGAAGTGATTGGGAAGAGAAAGGCATTGAACACAGCAGAGACCTGACGCTCCACTCAGCGGAGATAGCAGCCCCCCACCCCCCGCCCGCAAGCAGTAGAGCCCGTGGGGCCGGCGGGGCTCAGTGCTCACCTCCTGGGTCACCAGGCTGCCGATCTGGATGGGAGGTGGGGTGGGCACAGATGAGCTCTTCACCTGCCAGGCCCGAGGACTGGCCTTGAACATGCGCTTGGCTTCACTGAGGTTGGCAGAGGAGGACGGACATTTGTTGACCAGGCTGGCCCCGTGGAAGTCCCACCCTCACCCAGGAGAGAACTATTTTTATGAAGGGAGGTCCTTTTGTTCCTGCTCCATCTTCCCCAGGGGCTCTGATCTAGTCTGGCAGCCCTGGGACATGCCACGGCCTGTGGCGGCTCAGGCAGGCAGGATGGTGGGAAGTGGTCCCTGGTCTCACCTTTCTGTGCTGAGGGGTGGGAGGAGGCTGTTCTGCAGGTGTTGGGCTTCAGAGCTCAGCGTCTTCATGCTCTCCTGGTCAGACTCCGGGGTCAGTGTGGCTACTGCGGGGGTAATTTTGGGCAAGGAGCTCTCCTGGGGAGGTGGGCCAGGAGTGGACAGTCAGAAGACTTAGTCCTGGACCAGATACCAGTACAGGGTGGCAAAGGCGCACAGGGAGACCAGGGCTGGAACATGGGCTGGTAGCACCAGAGGGCATTGGGGCCCAAGGGATAAGCTGTGGCTGCTAAGCACCCCTAGTGGCACCACCAGATACCTTGGGCTCCTGGGAAGGTATCTGGGGCCATCTGTGCTGTCTCGGATAGCCAGCCCTGACCCTCAGACCCTGGGTGCCAGAGAAGTGCCAGAGAAGAACGCTCTGGGACAGGGACTTTACTCGGGTTTGGCCAGGCTTTGAATGGGGGTAAGAAGCAAAGGGAGTTAACTCCCTGGGGTACCAGCCAGCCTGGTCCCACTGCCAGGTACTGCCTTGGGCATCAGCCCCTCCCTCAGAACATGCCCAGGCGCCCACCTGCAAGGCCCTAGAGGCCACCCGGTCCATGATGGTGGCCCGCTCCAGACTGCCCTCCTCCAGCTCCCGCAGGAACACTTCGTAGAGCTCCTCCAGGTGTTGGGGGACAGCCAGGTTGTAGTCTGCTGGGGGAGGAGCAGGGCTCAGACGTGCCCTCGGACCCTCCGTGGCTCAGTGGGGCCTGCGGCTGGCTCCGAGGCACAGGGCCTACCGTCGATGATCTGCCGCTGGCCCTGGATGAGCTCCTCGCAGAGGCTGCGGTGCTGCTCCAGGCGACGCACGGCCTCGCGGCGGTGGCGGAGCGCGCCGTCGCGGAGCAGCGCGTGCGACTGCATCTCGGTGTTCTCCACCTCCAGCTCGTGCACGCGGCACAGCAGGCTCAGCACCTCGCGCTGCTCCTCGGAGCCAATGCGCTGCGGCAGCGTCTCCTCCAGGCGTCGGCCCCGTGCGCGCAGCTCGCGGCAGCGCTGCTCCAGCGCCAGCTTGGGGGCGGCGCGGGGTCAGCGCCAGGCAGCGGGCAAGGGGGGGCACCCAGCCTATCCGTGCGCCTCCAGGCCCAGGACTCTGAGCTGCGGGCTGAAGCTCCATTCCGACACCCACCCTTGGAGCTGTATCTTGGACCTTGCGACCCGGAGCTGCTCCTACGTGGCCCTTTCTTGTGGCCCTGACCTCACCCCTCAAACCCAGCCCATCTCATGTCCTTAGGGCTCATGGAACCCCCGAAGCCCCCTGGTTTGGGCACGCTCCAGAACAGAAGGCAAAGATCTGTTATTGGGTAAACCCCGATCGCAATGTTGGCTACCACTGTTTTGAGTCCTTGGTGTGTGGAAGGCATTTATTTACTCTTCCCAGCGGCCCTGCTAGGGCTGTACCAGGCCTCCTCCCATTTTACAGGTGAGGAACTTGAG